TAGTTCCAGGGGATCTGATGTTGTCTTCTGGCTTCTGCAGGCAGCACATGTATTTTACTTTTTTGTGTGTAAGGGTGCTTTGCATAGAGTTACATTTTGAAAATGCTACCTCTTTTAGTCTTTTCCTTTTACATTTTTCTAAAATTTCTAAAAATCCAAAAGATGTTTCTATATTGGATTTAATTTTTATTATAGTTATATGTGTGTATGTACATGCACACAGATACATCACTTCACATATGTGGAGTTTAGAGGACAATTTGTCAGTTTTGTTCATCTACCCATGTCTTGGGGGTCTTGGGGATTGAACTCAGGTTTCCAGGCTTGATGGTAAGTGCTTTTACTTCTAGCCATCTTGTCTGAGTTACATGCTAACACCCTTTAATATGTTAATTTGTTGTTTTAGTTTTGAGACAGAGTCTCATATATGCCAGGCTGGTCTTGGACTCATTCTGTAGCTATGATGGGTCTTGAACTCCTGATCCTTTTAATTTCATCTTCTGGATGCTGGAATTGTTAAGTATGTACCACCATGCTCATATCTTAGGATTTTCTGTTTGTTTTGGGGGGTTTGGGTTCTTTGTTTTGTTGTTGTTTTTTTCGAGACAGGGTCTTTCTATGTAGTTTTGGCCATCATGGAACTATGTAGATCAGGATGGCTTTAAATGCACAAAAATCCTCCTCATACCTTTACCTCCTGAGTGCTGGGATTAAAGGCATATACCACCTTGCTTGTCTGTTTTCTGTTTTTTTGAAAAAGGGTCTCAATCTGCTGTCCTTGAATTCAACAGCAGTCCTCCTGCCTTGGCCTCTTAACTGCTGAGACTACAAGTATGAACAACTATGTGTAGCTTTTAATTTAATTTATTTATTTGACAGGGTCTCACACACTGAAGCCCAGGCTGTTCATAGAAATCATCTTGCTTCGGCCTTACAGTGGCAGGGAATCCCAGGTACCAGGCACCATGCCTGGCTTTTTCTAATTTTAAAATAATTTCAGTTTGCAGAAAAGTTGCAAAAACAATACAAAGAATTCTCAAATGCTCTTTACTCACATTCCCTAAATGTCTGCATTTTGCCACATCTGCTGTATCAATCTTTTTTGTTCTATCTTTTGCATACATTTTGAATAAGATTATTATTTTATGGTTGCTTATTTTTATATTTGTGGTTATTTTTAAAAATATAATAGTCTCAAATTAGTTTATAGAGTAGGTGCCTTTAGGCTTTTTAAAAATATGCTGTTATTGGTGAAAGGCTTTTAAGTAGTCCTTGTGTATCTTATACATATGGCTACACATAAAGCACAAGTTATAGTATTTTCTTTCTGGTCTCTATCAATTTAAAGTAGCATAGCCCTTGTACTTTATTGAGACACGACTGGTGTAGGGAATTAAGTAAGCTGTTAGAGAAAAGTGTGTTTGGTTTGTTTGCTTGCTTGCTTGCTTGTCTGAGCTTGTTTGTCTGAGTTTTGGTGACTCTCTAAAATATTTCTAAATTGAGATTCTAGGTCAGAAAGAAACGAAAACTTCAAGCATGAACAAATTTGACCCTTCTTTCAGCTCTTCCTGATTTCATATTATCAAATTGCATGATAGAGCATTAAATCAAGTCATATTTATGTGTACCACGCTAGTCCGTTTACTCATGACATTCTCCATTCCTTCTCCCTGCAAACAGTTGGTACTAGGAAAGAACATTCTTTGAGGATCCTAGGCATGGTAGTGATAATGTGTACTTAATCTCATGACTCCAGTTCATTCTTGAAACCACATCAACTGGAGAGGCCTATTTTTATTCCTTGACGAGAATTTGTTTCATCAATGATTGTGTATGTGGAGAAACATTGCTTGTCTGAATTGGTGCTCTTGATTTCATTTATTAACAGTTAAAAATCTCTTTCTCTCATACATGTCTGTCTTGTATATGTACATGTGTGTGCACATGTGCGCGCGCGCACACACACACACACACAGACACACACAGACACACACA